CCATTAGGAATGCAAATGAAAATGCAAATAGGAATGAATGAAAATGAAAAATGAAAATAGGAATATAAAAAGAACATTTGAAATTAGATTTCTTCTTTTCTGAAAGCCATGCTTTCGATGAATGCACTTGATAAAATGCGTTCCACCTGTTGCCCCCTGCCTTTTTTCCTCCACTGATCAGGTGGCCTGCCGTGCTGAAGCCTTCTTGTTACATGAAATGCTGCAGGCAACCATGACGATATAAAAACAAAAAGGGAAGCGAATATTAAACAGGATAGGAGAGAAAGGAACTGTGTAGGTGTGTGAGGAAATCAGAATAAAGCGGCGAAAGGTTAAAGTGTGGTTAGAGTTGGGTATAACAAGAAGGGGAATAAAAGCGCACGCTCCTTTTGAATTTTGTGCATCATAGAGCAGAGAAGGAATAATTTTATCCTCATCTTTACACTAAAATCTTCACACTTCCCACTAAAATCTGTGGGATATGAATGAGGGAAACGATTTACTTTAATCTCAGTAGCATGAGTTTAATGTTAATATAATGGAGTTTTTTCTGTGGAAAGAGTGATTTGAGGAAAATGAAGTTTTGTTTAAAAAAAATCATTGGGTAAAGGAAGGAAAAATCAGAAATAAAGAGAGGCCGGTATGTTTCCTTTCCTTGACGACATGTCACTGTTTTTAACAGCATTACAGGTTTGTTTTGTAAGTGTGTATGTGTGTGCATGTGGGCTTGTAACACACACACAAAACTGGCGATGAATTTGCACTTTCCACRGTGTGTGAGCAAAGGCTATTTAAGACAATTCCTTGGTGGTAACTTCTAAACTTCAGACAGAGCTGATTCCTTAATACCAGTTCATAAAGGAGACTTTGAGGCAAAGAAGAGTATCCCAAGTGAGGAATATCAGCCCTTCCGAAATCCGTGGCAGTTCTCTAGTTGGTTTACAGGGGTGGATTCCCTGCTGTRTGCTGCTTTTTTCATTTTAAGTTCATTTTAAATTTAAAATCTTTCTTGTTGCCGGTCATATCACTATTTTGTGCAGGCTCTTCAGTTTTAGGTGGAGCTCACCTTGTGTTAGAGGTCGCCTCTATTCCTCTGCATTTATTCAAATTCACTTTTCAAGTGCTCATTCAAGGCTCCCTGTCAGACTTATTAATGAAAATAAATACAGCCTATTTCATGAGGTCATATTTTATACATTCATGTTGATATATTTTTAGTCTGCTCAGAATCTTCTTTGTTCCTTATAAACAGCTGTATTTTGTTCCTGACAAAACATCAGCTTGTAACACACAGCTTTGGCCCTGTGAAGCTGCTTCATGTTCATTCAGGAATTTCTATCCCATCGTGCTCTTTATCACTCAGTATTTTGTCTCCTGTGAGCAACGTCCCACAAGTCCTTGCCAAATTGGGTCAAGCTGTGGGCACGATTGTGACAAGAGAAAGCAATCTCTGAAAGAAGCCACCTATTGTTAGCAGAGACGATAGGTGAATAATAATCAAAGCAAGAACTTGGGTAACAGCATTCATGCACGTTTAGCATATTGAATGAATCTGGAAACGTGGAAAATTAGAATGCTTTGGGGCTATTGTGAWTTTTGTTTACTGCAAACCACTTATGCACAAAACTAAGTAATCTGTTTTTGGCAAATGGCAATTTAGTGCCCAATTTTGCAATGCCRTTTAGTATGCAAAACATACTGACTCCCATTGATTTCATGCCAGAGTCCTGGAATGGAATATAAATTTACCATATGTATCGTAACAATCTTTGCTTTAGAAGCAATTAATTTTCCTCTGGGGTCTGATCCACGCCTTAGGGAAATATTTAAATGTGTGCTTAATTCTTTCTGATTGATGAATCTGCCTAAAATTATCTGTGGTCCCTTGTGATTCAGAAATAGATTTCTCAGTCAGGACAAACTGAATATACTTCAATTCAGGCAAACAGCAGAGGTGGAAAGCTGCTCAGAGTGCTGTGAAACAGTAACTACGCTGGTGACAGGGAAAGGCAGTTCTAAACTTGTCTGAACAAGGACCAGAGCAGTTTAATTTAGAGTATCTGAAAAACTCTCACATATCACATTAACTTCAACGGCTTCAACTGATATATTGTGTTAGGCAGTTGAAGGTTCTTCACRAGAAATCTTACTGCTGTGTGCAGCCAGACATACCAGCTTGTACCGACTGCTATTAATGACCACGAAGTSTGGGGAACTACAAATCCTTCTTGCATGGGTGGAAGATACAACCTTTGTAAAAGAAATTCCAAGGTAAATCACTGGGTAGTTTTGAGTTCATCATAACCTTGCATAACCAAGAAGATTAAAAACTCTTATTTGCTTACTGCATCATGTTTTACGTAGTGCATCCCCCTGCCTTTGCCGTGCTTCGCAAACTTGCTGAAATGTCTACTTACCCCTTGCTATTTAAATCTGAAACCCAYCCTCTTTGACCTATTAGCTGTCATCAATTGTGTTCTTCTTTCTAAAATTTAATTCTCCTTTGGTTTCCATTACCTTATTCTTTCCCAGAGATCCTTTTTGTTTTCTGATCAGCACTTCAGCAAGTGCTTTGTGAGGGTCTTTCTTGATATAGTCCCACACCATCTCTCTGTGTTAGCAAGTGCACCCACCGTCAGCTGCTCTCTCTCTGTGTACATGACTCACAAATCTTCATTGAGTCAGGCTTTCTCCTGACTTGAGCAAGAGCACATCAGCAAAGCAAATAAGGGAGTGCTGAGGACATTACGTGCACTGTGTGGCAGGGAGGGGGATGATTTCAGACTAGCTTTGACCTGCTGACATGGACTGAATACCCACTCGCAGTTGAAGCACGTTATGTACACCCTTGGTGCCCATACGTAGGGTTAGTTTCCACTGAAAGGAGTCTATCCAGGTCATGAACTCCAAGAACTAATCTGTGATGCACACCAAAGCTCAGTGAGTGGAAAGAGTTGGAAAATTCACTTCCAAAGCATGCTTGTGGTATAAACTAAAATGTATATGTAAATGCACTATTAACTGTCATCTGAAGTGGACATAACTGAAATAGAATTGTTCATCCTTGATGACCGTTCTATTTCCTCTTTCGCTGGTGTCCTCTTGTGACCTTAGAGATCCAGCATTCATCTCCAGTCTGTCATGACTTTGAATCTCAGTTATTCAGAATGCATTTCTTTGGCCTTAGAGATGACCTTACTTCTCTCATAGCCATCAAAGATAGTTCTGCAAAGCTCCTTTTTCAGATTTCTAGAAGATGTCAATCATCTAGAAAGATTATAAAGCTGTTCTTGCATTATAAAGCTGTTATTTGGATAGTTTGTCCATATTCCATTAAACCTGAGCTGCTGATCTTCATTTTCAAAATCTTTTACAGCTTGTGTTCACAATATTTATCATTTTCATTCTCACATCCCTTTGGCTATCACTTTTGAAGTTTTCTAAGGTGGTCCTATTGTCTTTTCGAGCCACTCTGCCTCTTTCAACTTAACTTGTAAGCTTTTCAAGGCATCATTTTCACATTCCTAGGACCAATGCAGGTGGATAATAATTATTTTGCTATAAATACAAATATGTGATTATACCTGTACTTCTATTGCAGCTCATGTGTATCATCTTTTTTTTCCATTTCCAGAAAGCTACTGATGTCTTGGTTATTTAAGACTTCTGGTCAGCATAGCTCAACCGCAAGGCAAGGATTGTAAGAACTCTTTCGATAGCATACRCTTCCAGTGGCAAAAATTACAATCTTGTCATTGGAAAGTAGCATTGAACAACAGCTTTGCCAAGTTCAACTGTATCAGCAAATTTATAGGAAAGATGTAAGGTAGCAGTAAATGACAAAGCAGAAGAAAATCCTGTGTTGAGCTGTTACCATTCTGAGAACAGCCTAGGATGCATCTCGCTCACTTGGCTCTTGCAAGCAAGTCGGTGCCTCTCTTGCCTGACCCGGGTAGTCTGTCCCGAAACGGTTCAGCATATTTGTGCCGCTGTTCCCTAACCGTAGAATATCATCAGACATCTCGTGTTTCTCTATTCTTTTATGTACGTATTTTAGCAATAACGTAGGAACTAGCTTTTCATTATTATTTGTTACAGTTGAAAAATATCGTGAGCCCGAGATTATGGGCTGTATTCGACTGCACCAGATTCGCAGTCATCACTCACAGTGAGTGCTCACTTAAGCCCTCTGCACTGCTCTTCAGAGACACTGAGATCTGGCTGTTGACAATATACAGGTGCTTAAGGAGAGTTTAGTCCCCTGAAATACTGCTCCATGCAATTCCTACAGGATTTATGAAGCATATAAGGAAATTTAACGTGGGTTTCCAAAGGGCTGGGCAAGAGCTTTAGACATTTCCTCTTCCCTAACAGATTTTCTTTTTTCCCCCTAGCAGACTGTTACTTACTACTTACAGATTTTCTGTATCAATAATTTAGACTTAGGTTTACAAGAGAAGAAGATCAAATATTTTTATGAGGAAAAGATCAAAGGTTTTTATTAGGCTTTGTCATAAGGACTCAGCTTAATTCTTTCAGACTTTCAGAAAGAAGGCCTTGTATTATTTCTGTACAGCTTTCTCTTATGCAGAAAAATAAGAAATATCTTAGGTTTACTAGTGTAGATTAACTGCTTTGAACTAGTAGTTTTCAAAATGTTCGCAGCTCAGAATATACATTTGTGTGTGTGTGTGTGTATCCTTACATAAAATGACTGTTTGTCCGTATTTAAGGACTAAGCAGCAGTGTTGGTGCATATCTGACGCTGGTATGACATATGTATGAATACAGTAGATATTGTTAAAGCTGATTGTAAATTCAAAATGATCATTACTGGGCCCCGTTTGGTCATTTATTAGCAATTGTTCCCCTTACAGCCTCTCTTTATACTGGTCTTAGTTCCCTTTTTTTTTTTTTTTTTTTCCCCACTCAGATGTGGCAAGAGCAATTGAATTACTGGAGAAACTGCAAGAATCTGGAGAAGTACCAGTGCACAAACTACAGTCCCTAAAGAAAGTGCTGCAGAGTGAGTTTTGTACAGCTATCAGAGAGGTATGCAATGGAGATTTTTAGCCATTTCTAGAATGCCATCCACAGCCTTAGGAGGAAAAATGGACTTGCTTCCCAGTGCTGGAGATGGCAGTACCTTGTGTAAAGAAAGGATGATGCACCTGAGATGTATCTCCAACTGCCTGTGTGCTACCGGGCAAATACTGAAGTTAATGAAAAGCAGAAACAGAACAATTGCATCAGCAGGGCCTCAAGCCTGTGGCAATTGGCCTTGCTAAGAAAAAGGGGTGATTAATTAGTACTTTATTTCTGTTCATGCTGTTTGGGGGTTGGGGCTAACCTGTTCAGCATTCTACTGGGCTGCAGGGATAGACACGTTGGGTCAGTGCAAGCTAAAGTGGGTCTTCTTTGAACGCAGATATGTGATATAGATGGGCTGATAAAATCAGAGTGCCTTGAAACGTAAATGATGTGAGCCCTGAAGTGAAATTGGTAAATGAAGCTAATAGGAATCTTGCAGTTTAATTCAATGGTCAAGCGCCAGTGGGTCTCACTGCACGTATCCAATTCTTATCAGATTGATAAGAATTGTGATCCTTATTCTCCAAGCCGTGGTCAGGGAACTTCYGAGCTCTGCCCAACAAGAGACAGTAAGTGATGGCTGTCTCCTTCCAGACATGCCAGGATTCCCATCCCCACAAACAGTAGCTTTAAAACCATTAAATTTTAAATACTTCTCTGAGCTGATTCTTGGAGAGAAGCTGTCCAAGCTAATGTTGTGTCAGACTTTTTGCTTACTAAACTGAATACTAAACTGAATACTCAGCACACCAGACTGAGGTGATTCTAACACCCTAATGGAGGCAACAACTTTTCACCAGAAATTCTGTAACAACTTCTGTTTTGGTTGATTTGTCTAAGGCCTGAAACTAATATTCCTTCCCTAAAATCGATAGGAAATCTATTGTTACCTCAGTGGTAGCAGGATTGAACAGGATAACTGATGGAGCAGGATAATTCGCCGCCAGCAGCACATTGATTGAATAGACAGCTGGGTGAAGGGAAGGAAGAAAGAACAGACATTAATAAGCAGAATGCAACACACTCTTTTTTATGGAATATATTCTTCAATGTGAGGAACTGAGAGAGGTTTCTACTTAATTAGATGGCAGTTGTGTAGGCTTTTTAAAGGGAATACTGTTCCATCACAGTAAATAATGGTACTATGTGCCCTGAAAAGCTGATACTCTGACTAGTCCTTTCATTTAAACAACTAAATGCTTCTTTAATTGACCACAGAGCATTGAAGAGTCATTTTTCTTCAGAGCCACTCAAATTGTGAAGAGGAATTTTCTGTCTCTGCAGCATCACCAGAGAAATCTTAACAAATGGATGTTCATCTCTGAAAAATATTCTTAATAGGAGCAAATGCCTAGTTTTTAGAAAAAGGTACAGAGCCCAGGAAGAGGAAAACGACTTGTATTCTCAGTCTAGTGAACTGAAAGCAGATTTTGACAATATCCTTTCAGTGGGCACAGCGAGTGTTGTGTGAACACAACCTGCACATGACAGATAATCTAATTGCTATGACTGCCTTGTAAGAAATAGCTGTCACTGTAAGAAGTTTCTAATTATTTGTTTAACAGAAGCTGGCTGGTGATGATGAGCRTTTAGGTCAGTTGCACCAACTTGCTAAACAGAGAGATTTGTTTATTTTAATATCCTTAGTGTATCACTGTTCATGAATAAAATTCTACTATTGTTTTCTTATTAATGCCATTCTTGACTATATATGTAAAGATTTCTTTGACGAAATCTTCAAATGTGTAAGGCTTAATGGCAACCGTTAGGGTGGGAAGGAGAATCGACACATATACATTGCCAGTACTTAAGGTTGTTCAATATACAGCTCCTCTTTTCAGTTACTTACTCTAAGTCCTTGGCGAATGCTTAGACTATGATTTTGTTGTTTTTCTAGTTTAAAAATTCCAGAAAAACCTTTCTCCCATCTCTTAGAAACCTTTCAGAAAATGTATGGAATTTTTTGCTATGTTAAATTGTTAGATTTCTCCAGGCATTGCAGAAGGGTCTGGAAAGATATCTGAGCTGGGTCATGGTCAGGGAGGTCCTTCCTGTGTGGTCTTCATGTACCCCTGGATTTTATGAGAAACTGGTAGCTACATTTGTGAGCAATACAGTCTTTTCTAGGAAGCAGAAGCTGGCCAGAAAATTGCCTGCCACTGCCCTCCCAGCTGTTGATCTTTTTTCTTGGGCACAAGACATAGTTTTTTGTTCCCTTATTTTATTTTACGAGCACCTACCCAGAATAGAGGAGAAAAGCTGACCCTATAAGAGAAGGCACAGCAGGTTRGGAGTAATGCTGGAGTTGCTTGGAACACAGGAGGTTTCTGGAGAAAGCAGTGAAGTAGAGAGGGTATCAGCATGAGGCTGATGTAAGTGACCCTGGATGAAGAGCTGTGAGGAGTTTTGTACTGGCAGGCAAATTCTGGAAGGGGCTGCTGCTGCTCTGGGTATGCAGAGGTGCAGATGGGAAACAGGAGGTGTACGTCGTGGCCTGCAAGATCTGAATCTAGCTTCCTTTTATCAGAAAATCACGTTAGGCTGGTTAAGGCTGACCCTTGTAGTCCTTTAAGTTCCATAACGGATGAGCTTWCCAAAATATTTTTCTGTTGTAGTTGAAGTTATGGACTCTGAACTGTCCAGTGAGTTTKATTGTTAGAATCTGTCCTGGAGAAATTCAGTGTTAGGCAGTGTCTTTTATGATCTAATATCTGCMATATTTTGTTAGATGATACACATTCTAATCTAATGTGTTGGAATCTATTAAATGGCAGTAATTAATTGTATTAGTAATTGTAATTAATTAGTAAGTGTAATAATCAGTAATTGTATTAATAAACTTTCTTGAACTTCAAGCTGGGAAATCAATCTTCTCATTGAAATCCCCAAATACCTTGTAGTGATAGAATCTTTTAATAATGACTAAGTGAATGAAGTCACTTTAAGATAGAAGAACTATGGCATTTTTCTAAGACGCTGTGTCAGGAAAGGGTAATTAAAGGTACTCACTCAGTACCACCAGTTGRTGCCTTCTGTAGGACACTGGGAAGGCAACTGCATTAACTCTGGAAATAATGGAAGTAGGTTAAGTATAATCTGGCCTCAGATACTTTCTTTTCCCTTGAAGCCCAAGCCTTCCTTAGCTCCATCACATACACCAGAAGTCAAGTCAACCCAAGTTTGGTCATATTAAAATGTACTTTTAAAGCAGTTTATAATTGCATGACCAAATGACCCGTTCGAAAAGCTCCCTAGGTGCAGACAAATTAATTAGCCTTTTATCTAGACCTGTCCCTTGGCAAAAGATTATTTTTATTATTATAAATTTTATTATTATTTATAAAAAGATATTTTTATTATTGGGCCAAAGCTGATGGCATATTGTAGTCTTCTGATTGCTGCAGATTACTAGGAAAGATGAAGTGGAAGCTGCTAAAGGGAGTGGGTGATTGCGCTGCTGAGAGGGTGTGTGCATATGCAGCACGGAGGCAGGCAGCCCGAGCGGACGAAGTGAGTCCCTGGTCTGCCCTCAAGCCTCAAGGTGCCATAGGCAGAGAAGTTCAAATGCACAGCTGAGCCAAAACACACTAGCTCATCACCATACTGTGACCTGCCTTTGCGAGCAGGGCAATTTCATTTACTGTTAGCATCTGGGGATCAGTGCTGAAATGCCAGGAGAGTAATGACACAGGTTGAGAAACCCCTGCATCTTCTGAGGAATGGAAGTTTTCTTTTAAGTTGATTCTGTAAATTCTTTCTGTACAGTAAATAGCTGTATATAACCCAGATGTATCAGGCTTTCCTTCTGCCCTTCTCCATTTTCCATTTCAAGATTAATGGTTCTTTTTCTGCATGCATGTTATTTGAAATAAAACCTGACAGCTAAATATCAATAGTGAAATGAATCACTGTATTACATTTATCAGTATCAAATGTAATCAAATCAGAAAGTCTATATAAAAAGCTGGCATAGCAGTCAGAAGCACAAGAATATCCATTATTTTATTCTATTATCTTAGAACTGCTACCAAAATATCAGGTCATCAACCAACAGAATTTTTGCAAGATTGAGTCACTGGCAATCATTTCTTCAATGAAGAAGTAGTCAGCACAAAAATATACTACTGTTGTTGGATCTTTTGTGTGAAGTTTGTCTGTGGAAAAATGTGCTTTTTTTTTTTTTTTTTTTTTAATGTGAAGATAGTTTAATTTCTTCTTCTCTAACTTAAAACTCTTATGCTTACTATAAAATTATTTTATGGGCAGAACATCTTAAAAGTAATGAAGACCACTAGTGAGACTGAGGTACAAAAACAGAGCAGTGTTAAAAGACTGAGGAGGTCTTGATTCCCATCTGGTTATTTTGAGATATATTTGATTATAATATGTAATACTGAGAACATGGATTTACTGTTTGGTAGGATAGTTTAAGAAGCCTGTATTCTTTCACCGTATCTGGTGGGTATAATTGAATTCTTTAATTAATAGTGAATTATAGGGCATTATTAATGCACACATTTTCATGAGCTAATAGTCCCAATTACTAGAATCCCAGTACTGCTAATGCAGTGTATTGTTATCTGGTATTTTCTCCAAATGCCTATGTGTGCTTTATGTTATTGACCCTGATATCTGGCTTTCTGAATGTTAGGGAGACACACTGAGGTTGTGGGGTGGTGAAAGCTGACTCTAATGATATTATGCTTAGAAAATTCTGATACAGTAAATGACAGCAGGAAGCTGGCTGGAACCCATAGCTGTTCACCTCAGACACAAATCCTAACATTTTAATGTAATGCCTTTTAAATGGCTGTATGAAATGTAACAGTCTGGTTATTGGCTGGMCTCAGGTGAAACTTCTCATTAATTTCTTCCATTAAAATTATTCCTTTAGAATTTTAATGTAGGATTCCAAAAGGGATATAAAAGTGCTGGTTTTAATGTATTTCCAGAATTGCAAG